AGCGTCGCTGAAATCAGTCCAGATGGTGAAGGACTGTCTCTCAAAGGAATTCGAGATGAAGGGCATCGGTTAAATCAAGTGCTTTCTGGGACTGCAAGTTAACTACGATCGGGCTGACGGTGTTATGAAGATAGCTCAGCGGCACTATCTGGAGAACGTCCTGAAACGTTTTAAAATGGAGGACTGCAAGCCGTGCTCAACGCCCATCGAGAACCGCCTGAAGCTGCCGAAAGGGAACGAGCAGAATCGAACCATAGAGGTAACTCTAAGACTAGTAGGTCCCGAAGAAAATCATTATTATTTTTGGCTCACTCAGTACCAGAACAACGGTCCCAAGCAGTCCCAAGCTATTTCACTCACCCCTGCATGTTTTGCATGAATCCACACACCCCTGATGTTATCTGTCAAACTTTCATAGCGAATCAAAACAAACATAGTGTAGTAATAGAATTTCAACTAGAATAGGGTACGTTAATCGTTTGCTTGGGACCAATAGGCCACTAAAGTGGTGAGCCAATTTAAAATCGTTAGTTTCGTATTGATTGTTGATCGAACCGCGCAGACGTTCAGGGAACTAGTTGGTTGCTTGTCCTACGCAGCCCTAACCACTAGAACGGATCTGACAGCGGCAGTGAACTTCTATAGCCAGTTGCAGAGCTGCCCCAGTGATGAGCACTGGACTCATCTGAAAAGGATACTGCGATACGTCAAGGGATCGCTCGATTTCGGCCTGATCTACCGTGCGGATAAAGCAGCGCCGCTGCTGGAGGTCTTTTTGGAAGCAACAAACCGTCTCACCAAGAAGCAACAAACCGTCGCTCTCTCATCGACTGAGGCAGAGCAGACAGCCCTCTGTATGGTGGCCTGCCATGAGATGTGGATGAGCCGTCTTCTGCACGATTTGGGATACAGGAGCAAGGAACCGATCTGCGTTTACGAAGATAATCAGTCTGCTATGAAGATCGCAGAGGAATCGAAGACCTTCGGACGGGTCAAACACATCGACGTAAAGTTCCACTTCCTGCGGGACTTTATAAAGGATGATTGCATCACTCTCAAGTTCCTACCGTCCGTCGAACAACCTGCGGACATGATGACAAAAGGGTTATCGATTGCAGCATTTCGACGTCATCGTGCTGGGATTGGCCTGGTAGACTGCAGTGGCTGAGCAGGGGTGTTGAGTGTCCAGCCCCTTGCACTCATCAAGTCCACTAACCCAGTGGGCTATGTTGCCCCCATCGAAAGGTTACACTACTGCCTAGAGAAATAACAAAGACAACAACACTTCCGTTTTTCATTCCATGTTACTCTCTTCCTGAATAAATACGTTTTTCTTTGAACTAGTTATTTCTGTCGGTCTCGTTGGTTTTTCCTCGTGTGGTCATCCGTGTGGGAGTAGAATGACCACTAGCGTCCTACCCCTACATGCAGACAACAGAGACAACCTATATTGGTACACCTTGAAATTTGCTTTTGGTTGACAGTTGGAAGTTTTTTTTTTGTTCAGTTAGCGTTCTAGTTCTGTAGTAAAAGACGCAAATAAAATAGTAGCTTTTTTCTTTTCCCGTAGTTTACGTGTGTTTAATCGTTTTTCCGAAATTCGTTCCTTTTCCGAGGTTTCCGGTAGTGCTCTGCTCCTTCAGGTTATGGGCCCAGTAGTGAAAAGTGGACAGTTTCATTTTTTTTCGTGGAAAACGGGTGTGCCGGAAGAATCGCGTTTTTTCTTTCGAGAACCTTTTATGTAACACGTGCAGTGGGAAAAGATGGCCGAAAGCATGAAGGTCATGTTCGCCAAGTTGAATGGCAACAACTACGTTTCCTGGAAGTACAGGATGACGACGATGCTTGAGCGCGAGGAAGTTTGGGACGTGATTGAGAAACCCAAGCCAGAGGAGGTTGATGCCGAGCTCCAGCAGTGGATCAAGGATGATCGGAAGGCTCGTACGACAATTGCGCTCTTCGTGGAGGATAGTCAGTTGCGTTTCATCAAAAAGGCGGCGACTGCTCGCGAGATGTGGTTTAACCTCAAATCGTACCACGAAAAAGCGACTATTGGAAACCAGGCCCTGTTGTTGCAGCAGCTTTGCTCGTTGAATCTGAGTGAAGGTGGAAACGTCGAGAAACACATCGAGGAGATGGAGAATCTTTACGAACGTCTGGAAAATGCTGGTGTGGAGCTTAGTGAGCTGCTGAGAATCATTATGATGCTTCGGAGCTTGCCATCGTCGTATCACAGCTTTGTTACTTCATTGGAGAACCGGCCTCAGGAAGATTTGACGATCGATTTAGTGCTGGCGAGACTTCGGGATGAGTGCCAAAAGCGAGAATGTCAGCAGGGAAACGGTGTCAAGATGGAGAAGGCCATGAAGATGGTAGCGAAGCCAAAAAGTGAAACTCGGAAGTGTTTTTTCTGCAATATGCCGGGTCATCTGAAGAAGAATTGCAGGAAGTTTCTAGCAGCGAAAAAGGAACAAGGCCTAAGCCAGTCAAGTCAGAAGGATAGTCCAGACCAGCAAGCGAAGCAGGTGCAAACACAACCGGCGCCGGAGCAGCGGGATGCTGAGAAACCTAGTGAGAAACCCAGCGCTGTTTTTGGAGCTGTGTGCTTCGTCGCAGGAGGAGTTATTCCCGGAGCATGGACTGTGGATAGCGGTTGTACGTGTCATATGACCAACGACCGTACTTTCTTCAACGAAATGAAAAGAGGTGTCGTTGTCGATGTGACCCTGGCGGATGGAACCAAAACGATGTCTGCTGGATGCGGTAGTGGAGTGTTGTTCGGTGTAAACGGAGATGGAAACCGAATTGCCATCACGTTGGAGAACGTTCTTTACGTCCCTTCTCTAGAAGGTGGACTGATCTCGGTCCGGAAGCTGGCACTCAAAGGATTTTCAGTGGTGTTCGGCGTAGATCGTTGCGAAGTAAAATCTGCGGATGGCGTTGTAGTGGCAGTTGGTGAAACCGTCGGCAACCAGTACAAATTGAAAACGGCCGAGCAGGGTATGCGTGCGGTGTGTGGAAACCATACCTTGTTGTGCCAACACACCTGGCATAGAAGGTTTGGTCATCGAGATGCGGATGTCATAGAGTCGATTAAGGCGAAAGATCTGGCAAGTGGACTGGAGGTCAAGAGTTGCGGTGAGCAGATAGTTTGTGAATGTTGTCTGAAGGGGAAGTTGACTCGTTTCCCTTTCCCAGCGGTAACTAAACGCAAGTCTAAGCAGCCTTTGGATCTGATCCACACGGACCTTTGTGGCCCCATGGATAATCAAACGCCTAGTGGTAACAAGTACCTGATGACCATGATCGATGATTTCAGTCGATTCTGTGTGGTCTTTCTCCTGAAGTCCAAGGACGAGGCAGCAGGGAAGATAAAGGCGTACGTGCGCTGGACGGAGAATGGATTCGGACGGAAGCCCCGCATCATTAGATCCGATGGCGGAGGTGAGTATACTAGTAACAATTTGCAGGAGTTTTATAAGGCTGAAGGTATCGACGCGCAGTTCACGGTTCCCTACTCCCCACAACAAAATGGGGTAGCGGAACGCAAGAACCGAGCGCTTCAAGAAATGGCTAACTGCATGTTGCTCGATGCAGGCCTGCCAAAATGTTACTGGGGAGAGGCAGTATTAACAGCAGCTTATATTCAGAACCGGCTGCCTACTCGTGCTGTAGATCGTACTCCGTACGAGATGTGGACTGGGACGAAGCCGGACCTGACCCGTCTTCGTGTTTTCGGGTGCTCCGCTTATGTCCATGTCCCGGAATGCAAGCGTAAGAAATTTGATCCCAAAGCAAAGAAGCTATTGTTCGTCGGCTACTCGGATCAGCACAAGGGTTGAAGATTCCTGGATCGTGAGAGTGATCGGATCGTCATCAGCCGCGACGCGCGGTTCCTCGAGCTTGATAACGGCTCGGAGCGGGAAGATGCAGTTCAGGAGGACCAACAAGTTCCAGCGGAAATGCGTGAAGAAGATGAAAGTGAAGTGATCCTGGTTTGGAACAAGAGTGATGAGGCAGTTGAAGAGCCTGAAGAGCAAGAAGAAGATGAATCAGTTTACGAGGACGCTGATGATACAAACGAGAGTGATTTCTTCGGTTACGGTGATGAAAGTATTCACGAATCCGGACAAGTGCAGAGAAGGGCACCGCGCTCTACGCGAGGTGTTCTTCCAAGAAGATATGACGATTTTGTCGTTGCGTTGGCATCTCACGACGAAGAACCCGAAGACTACCGGGAGGCGATGGCCTTGCCAGAGTGGCGAAGTGCGATGAAGGATGAACTTAAGGCTCACAAACAAAACCAAACGTGGGAACTTGTGAGATTGCCACCCGGAAAGAAAGTGATTAGTGCGAAGTGGGTGTTTAAACTCAAGCGCGATGAAAATGGAAGAGTAGTCAAACATAAAGCGAGAATTGTTGCGCGGGGCTACTCGCAAAAGTTTGGTATTGACTATACGGATATTTTTGCCCCAGTAACGCGTATAACTACGTTGCGTGCGTTGCTGGCTGTTGCGGGCAAGAAGGGACTAGTACTGAAACAATACGACGTTAAAACGGCGTACTTAAATGGAACCGTTGAGGAAGAATTGTTTATGCGTCAACCCCCCGGTTTCACCGTAACTGGACAGGAGGAGATGGTGTGCAAATTGGTAAAAAGCATTTACGGTTTGCGTCAATCGGCACGTTGTTGGAATAAAGCGCTCCACGCTGTGTTGACGAAGAAGCTGAAATTTCAGCAATGTACATCAGATTCGTGTCTCTACGTACGGCACGTTCAAGGCGTTACGGTATACTTGCTAGTATACGTAGACGACCTCCTACTCGGAAGTGTGAATGAAGCATAGATCAATAAAGTGGCTGAAGATTTGAAGGAAGAGTTCGAGCTTACCTGTCTCGGCCCTGTTCGACATTTTTTGGGACTGGATATTCAGAAAGAGGACAGAATCTACTCTTTGCGGCTTACGGCGTATATTGACAAGTTGGTGAGCCAGCTGGGTATGGATAAGGCACCACCAGTAAAAACACCTATGGATCCAGGGTACCTGTCTGCGAACCATGATAGCAAGCCATTTTCGGATCAGACCTCGTATCGAAGTGTTGTTGGAGCTCTTTTATACTTGGCTGTCAATGCGAGGCCGGATATATCTGTTAGCGTGGGATTGCTTGGACGAAAGGTAGCTGAGCCAAATCAAAGCGACTGGTCTGCAGCTAAGCGGATCGTGCAATATTTGAATGCAACGAAGGATCGGAAGCTGACATACGGACCTGGACAGGAATGGAAGTTGATCGGATTTTCGGACTCCGATTGGGCCGGAGATCAGCGAACAAGGCGGTCTACTACTGGTGTGATATTTTTCTACGGTGGTGGGCCGATATGCTGGGTGAGCAAAGGACAGGATGCGGTCGCACTCTCGTCGTTGGAAGCAGAGTATTACGCACTCACCGTGGCGTGTCAAGAAGCAATCTGGATCAAGCGATTGATGAATGACCTCGACGAACCTCAGGCCGATGCGATTACCATCTTCGAGGACAACCAGGGGTGCATATGCTTTGCGAAGGCCGAACGATCGAGCGGAAGGGTAAAGCACATAGACACGACGAAGCATTTCATTCGTGACTTATGCGAACGGAAGATTATAGTTTTGGAGTATTGTCCTTCAATTGAGATGATTGCTGATGCTTTAACAAAGCCGTTGGGACGACTGATGTTCAACAAATTCATTGAACGGATCGGACTATCGACTTAGGTGAAGTCGGTGGTCATTCAGGAGGAGTGTGGGAGTAGAATGACCACTAGCGTCCTACCCCTACATGCAGACAACAGAGACAACCTATATTGGTACACCTTGAAATTTGCTTTTGGTTGACAGTTGGAAGTTTTTTTTTTTTGTTCAGTTAGCGTTCTAGTTCTGTAGTAAAAGACGCAAATAAAATAGTAGCTTTTTCTTTTCCCGTAATTTACGTGTGTTTAATCGTTTTTCCGAAATTCGTTCCTTTTCCGAGGTTTCCGGTAGTGCTCTGCTCCTTCAATCCGAAAACCCACTTTAAACCGTCCAACCGTGATACATTCACAACCATTTTCTTTTTAATCTGGATGAAGACAAAACATTTCTCATGTTGATTGTTTGCAATTGCCCAATTTTGAACATATAAGCGCATAGTAATTTGGATGGTCGTCCAAAAATTTCCCTCATGCATTTTGGTGAGCAGTTTTCATTAAATAACCACATGCAGATCGATATTCCTGCGCGCAACGCAGATTGATAAAAATGATATTGATTTTGTTAAAAAATAATAATAATAATAATCGGTTATCGGAGCTGATTACTCATGGACCGCAGCATGCCATGGCGGATTTGTATTTTTTCAACCATTTACCTATCCATAATTTCCGCCACACTGCTCTTCCCTTCTCCAGGAGCACCTAGCCTCGAACTACAATTTGATTCAGATTTCCACACCCCCTTGCAAATTCCATTATCAAAGCAAACCGTTGACATGTGACAAATTTCCTTGCAAGAAAGTTAAGCCACCCACCTACTACTGCCTTCCCTACTGTCATCTCTCGCCGCTAGTAAGAGGATTACAGCAGCACGGTGTCCTGTGATGTAGAATTCTTTTTCATCTTCACCCCGCACATGTCGGACGGACAATGTGTCAACGGAATTACACTCGATTTCGAAACGAATCAATTGTTGAAAAGTTAATTCCTTTCGCTCTGCGGTCAACAGGAGAAATTGCGTAGCAGGAACCCCGTGACAATGGGAGATTTTTTTTTCGATGACTCTTGTCGCATTGTTGGCCTAATTGAGATGTCACTGCGTGCTGTGAAATGGAATCTATATTTTTCCGATCAAATCAACTGTGTTTCACTAACACCAGTAAGCTCTGTTTTGCTGGTTGTCATAGGATACTGCATTTCAACGATCGTTGGCGTCCCGTGAAACAGCCCACTGTTGCTTTGTTTTTGTTCCGTGATCGGGTTATTTGTGATGCAAGTGCATGTAGAGTGAAATTCGTTCATATGTGACAACGGCATGCCGAGAAGTATGCATGCCGTCTTATTGTTAGTGCTAATGTTGATAACGCTTCAAGATGGCAACTCGAACGAGCGCACCCTGAACTACATGACCAACAGACAGCCGAAGGAATGTGTCCAGCTGCCGCCTCCGATATTATCGAACATCCTCGGGCCGGCGTTCAACTCCCGATATATGAGTATCGACAAGCCTCCCGTCATGCAAGACGAGTCGGTCAACGGGGAATCCGATGGAAAACGGGGTGCAATCAGCGGACTCTATCCATCATTCTACGTAGACGAAGATCACCTGGCCGAGCTGGGAAACAATCCAGCCTGGGCGGTTGACCACGCCAAGGATACGGCCAATCCGGTACTGAAGGCCCCGCTGAACAAACGAGAAGCTTTCGACTCTCTGCTGCACGAAATGGGCAAGGAAAGCCGTTCGACGCGCAGCTTCCGACGAGGTCAAACTGACGGGAGCACTCGACCGTGGGAGTGCGATGCGAAGATCCGTTGGGTTGACCTGGGCGCCGGGTACTATCCACGCTTCCTCCGAACCGTCGAGTGTGCCAAGAGCCGCTGCTGGTATGGCCATTACCAGTGTACGCCACGTTCGTTCACGGTGAAGATGCTCCGCAGACGCACGGGACAGTGCGTTTCGGCCGATCAGCTGCACAAGATTGGAGTTGAAGGACTGCCCGGGGAGCTTAGCGAACTGTGGGTCTGGGAGGAACGAGCGGTCAACTTTTGCTGCGATTGTGCTCCGCGATTTTAAGTCTCTAGTATCTCATCCTGAACCGACGAAATCAATAAAGAAACACTGACTTTGAGGATATAATAAAACAATGTCACTTGCCGCTTCGGATTCCCCCTTTTTTTCACAATCTCTGATGCAAAAATCAATCTCAGTAGGCCCCTCTTGAGAAATCCTTCGCTTGCTGCGACGGTTTATGTCGTAGCTGGCTCGATTTGCATAAATATTGAAACAATTTTCCAAGTGGCTCTGCTGCCTCGCGGCGGCGGCAGGAAGTTGTTCCATATTTATAAGGCTAATCATAATATTTTTCGGGTAAAGTGGTTTAACTAGTTTAAAGGGGAGGAAATTTTGTCACCGTGCAGTGCGGGGCCGATCACAGTAATTGTCGTGTAATGACTTAATAACAATAATCGACAGCAGATTGATTGGCCGTTGCATGGCGTGGTAAGTTGTTCAATATATGTGCATAGAAATTAGCTGTTTAAGAGAACCACTTTGGAATGTTGACATTAATGGGTTGCCCCAGGCGTGAGGATTGAAACATTGATTTATTGATACTCTTTCACAACTTTAGACTTCTCTTGAAGCTCCAAAAAGGTTCTCGTTTGGTTACCACATAAATTCGTCATTTCACGGAAACAATCCTGGTTTCGACATTTCCCCCAATCAAATAAGTCATGGGAGCGACTTCGCAAATCAGCTTTCACCCAAGCAGGCGGAAAATGAGCTTTCACCGCTCCGCTTATCCTTAGTTTGGTCCCGGGCGGGGGAATCAAATTTGCGGCTTCCGCGTGTGGCCACAAGCGAATTAGACCGGTCGGTCCCGTTGATGACCCCTGATTCCAACCGGCGGAAAGTCACCCACCACTGTGCCATCTAAAACGAAGCATTAGCCGCATGTAATCCCTTTCCGATCACCAGAGCACCAGTAGGCTCTGGAAGTAAGTAATCGGAAAACTGACTAAACGCGTCGTGTAACATAAGCTGATCTAGGTGAATAAATTATGTTTGATTTGCCTCCCCTCTTGGAATAATACCAAAGCACGGCTGCCGAAATGCAGCCAAAGCCGCCCCTTGGCGGCGATCCTTTTGCGTATGATAATAACAATAATAAGATAATCTCCTTATACGCAAAAATCTCTTCTCCCAGGTGGATCCCAACAGCGGCAGGTTTGAGCTCTACCTTCGATTGGTTTTGATTTTCACCCTGTTTCAAATTTTCCACTCATCCATCATCGCAGTAGCTGACGACGACGACGGCGGTGAAGAAGATTGCTCTTACCAACGCGTCGTCGTCGTCGCCTGCTAATAGCAGTTGCAGCATAGCTACTTTGTGCGAAAATTCAATTTCCACTCCGCCACCACAGCAATCTTCTTATCTGTCTTCCATCAGGGTTGCTTCGATCTACGTTCGATAGCGGACAAAAGAAACCCCGAACATGAAAGATACCATTCATGGTTCCAACAGCGAACCGAGGGAGGGACGGAAGGAATTTCGCAAAAATAATAATCCGTTCCGGCGCCTGTCGTTCCGTGAAGGGAAAATGCACATTTTCGATACCGTTTCTTCCTCCCATACTTGATGTCCGTCCTAGCTACCAGTGTAGTGTTTTCCTGGATTTTGGCATGCAAAAATTCTTCTTCGTAAAGTTGTGTTAGCTTGCCGTGGAGGATTTAGGCCACACGTTCTTTTAAGCAGAACACCGCGAGGGTGTACGACGGCGAATGGCATATTTTGGCTCACGTGAAGTTTGATGGGATTTTGATTGCATTACGAGCAAAGGAGAAAGTGTTGCGGATATTTTCCTGATAAAAAAAAACCTGCAAAACTAAGATGATAAAAAATCAGCTGAGACGGTTCTAGTAACTCCTTCCGGTGGTCCTCACGATAGGCTAGATGCAAGGAAATTGCTAATGAAGTGAAATCTCAAGGGGTTTTCCACTCTGCACACCTTAATTCGTGCTGAGAGCAGTGATGGCATATTCATCAGCAATTTGATATTCGTCCGCTCTCTTTTTTGACGTAGGACTACGTCTGTGATTTCTATATGGGGGTACACTTTGTGAAAACCAAAAATGGATCATGTAACAAAATTATGAAAGATTTTGAACGTTAATAACTCAGCTGCCCCTGGACCAATTTCAATAATTTTATCACCAATCGATCAGAAATATTTCTACGCGTCTGTTAAATTTTAGACTTTATCATTTTTCAAAGTGTCACGTTGAAAATTGCATAAACGTGTAACTGTTGCTATGATAATTAACATTATCACCGATTCCCTGCGAAAAGCGATTTCTCTAACACAGATTTCAAAGTTGAATTCCATCTGGTCTCACCAAACGGTGTTTATTCAATCACCGCGTGGTGAGTGGTGGGGTTCTCCAATACACAACGAAAGGCTGCCTGCAAGCAGCAAGCTGCAGCCCACATTAGCATCCATAGAAAAAAGAAGAAGTCGCACCGCTATTGATCGGAATCAGTAGCACTTCGTGAGTCGCTGTGGGCCAAACGAGGGTATAAACAGAGAGAACCCCACTCAAGTTCCTATTCCTACACAAAACCCAAGCTCCTGCTGCAGTTAACAAATAAGATTTATTATATACGACCATGTAGTCCTACGTCACCATTGCGTACAACTCCATAGGGCTGTCCCTTGTAGTTTTTTTTTTTTATTTATTTGATAAGGCTCAACCGAATTAATTATACAGAACCGAGGATTCTTGTTCACTATACAGTACATCTTAAAACTATAGTCAAAAGGTACAACACAATAAGCATTTTATCTTCCGCTAATCAATAAGCCTCCTCCACCAGAACGGGAGCCACTTCCAGTGGTTTAAGTAGTAGTAAAATTATGTTTATTTCTGTTGATTATGGTAGTACATTGATTTATCATTTTAATTGATTAGCCTACTTGGCTCTTCATCTTTGTTTAATTTGATATTCTAATTTAATATTTGCGTTTTTCAACTAGTGTACAGAATATCCCTTTGGGGATGTGTTTTATTTGAATTGAAAAAAGTGATAACCTACCTAACTACGAGTATAACTTAACCTAACGTGCTAGATCACGTATGATCTGATGATTTGATCTCAAACAAGTGTCTCTGAACCTTTCCAGGATGAATACTCTCCGTTCTTCTAATGTTTGAATTCCAGCCAGGAAGTGGATCTCAGAATTTCTAGTCCGCGGGGGACTGTTTAGGACCATCCTAAGGATCTTGTTCTGGATCCTTTGGAGTTTAAGGTGATGGCATTTTGCGCAACTCTCCCACATTGGCATACCGTACTCGATTACAGGAAGGATGACTTGTTTGTAGACAGCAAGCTTATTTTTCAGGGACAGGGTTGACTTCCTGTTGATAAGTGGATACAACGATCTTATCAAGATGTTGCACTTGGTTTTTGTTTTGTCAACGTGCTCCCTGAAAAGAAGCTTGCTGTCTAGTGTTAGCCCGAGGTACACGACCTCTTTGGACCATTCCACAACTGTGCCGTTCAGGCAGATCTTGTTATTCTCCGACGGAACAAGTGTAGGAGATTTAGAGTGTGGAAAGATAATGACCTGGGTCTTTGCCGCGTTGATACGGATCTTCCAGCTGTTGAAATTTCAGACAGAACGTCCAGGCCTCTCTGAAGTTTGGCAGTCAGAGCTTCGATGACCCTACCCTTGTAGACGATGGATGTGTCATCTGCGAACAGAGACAACGATTCACCATCAGGGAGCGCCGGCATATCGGAGGTGAACAGGTTGAATAGGATGGGGCCAAGAATGCTTCCTTGTGGAATCCCGGCACCGATGTTGAAAGCATCCGATGAGATGCCATTCAGAGAGACTCGGAACGTCCTGTCTGATAGATAGTTGTTTATGATCTTCACTAGGAAGATTGGAAGACCGTACTGCTGCAATTTGAACACCAGGCCATCATGCCAGACATTGTCGAACGCTTTTTCAACGTCCAACAACGCCATGGCAGATGTTTTCGAAACAGAATTGTTCCGTCTGAGAATGTTTGTTACTCGAGTCAGCTGGTGGACGGTCGAACGACCTTTCCGAAAACCAAACTGTTCCTCGAGTAACAAGTTGTTTTCATCGGCAGATGTTAGGAGCCGGTGGTACAGTGCTCTTTCGAACAGTTTTGACAACCCTGAGAGAAGGCTGATTGGTCGATAACTTGAAGGAGAGGACGGATCCTTCCCAGGTTTCCGGATGGGTATGACTTTAGCTGACTTCCAACACGAGGGGAAGTAGCCAAGTCTGAGGCACTGGTTGTAGAATCTGGAACTCAAGTGTTTAAGTTCCAGATTCAGGATGTTGTCGAAACCTGGGGCCTTCATGTTTTTAGATGATTTAATATAGGTCAACAGTTCGTCAGCCGTAATCTCGGATTCCTCTGGAAAAATGTTAGGAATCTGAAGAAGATTGGTTGCATTTTCAGCAACCTCAGATTCATGAGGGCTGATGATGTTTTGTCCGAGATTATGGGAGCTGACGAAGTGTTGACCTATCGCGGAAGCCTTCTCTTCAGGAGTTATCAGATGAACCACTGGGTCGCCGGGACGATCCAGTGGGGTCAATGGGGGAATGGGCCTAGGCTTGTTTTTAAGAATTTTTGTAAGTTTCCAGAAGGGCTTAACACAATCTGGGAGAGAGCGGATCTTACTAGCAAAATCGTTATTTCTGAGATCCACCAACTTGGCCTGAATGATCTTTGCTAATCGATTAGAATTGGTCTTCAAGTTAGGCAGGCCAGTACGCTGGTACTGCCTACGAATGGTGTTACGGAGTCTAATGAGATCTTTGGTAGGGCTGTCAAGGTTCAGAGTGTTACTCACCTGTCTGGATACTGGCACGTGTTGTTCCCTGGCCCGGGAAATCGCCTCCTCGATGGTTTGTAGACACCGGTCAACATCTTCGGACGTCCCCGGTTGGACATCGTAGTCGATGGCTGTGTCAACGCAGTGTTGATATTGCGCCCAGTTGACTCGATGTAGTTGCGCCAGGAAGCTTCGAATCGGTTAACCGAGGATCCAACTTCGGCACACACAGGGTAGTGGTCCGAGCTCAGCTCCTGGAATGCCACAGGTTGCGAGATGTTGTGTCCCATGTTGCTTACGAAGATGTCGATGGTCGCATGGACCCCAGACCGACTCAACCGGGTGGGAGAGTCCGGGGCCAAGATGGTATAGTGGCCCTCTTGCAGGTCTTCATTGAGGATGATGCCGTTTCTATTGCTGCGATCGTTGCCCCAAGCTTGGTGTTTTGCGTTCAGATCGCCAGCGATAATGAAGTTCCCGCTCCTCCGGGTGAGTTTGATGATGTCTTTCCGGAGGGCCACTGACGACCCGTCCCTGATGTTGGTTTGCTTGGGGCAGTAGACCGCGATGATGGTGATTGGGCCAAGTGATGTGCTCACCTCCACTCCGATGGCTTCAATTGTTTTCAGCTGGAAGTTTGGTAGCAGCCGGTAACTGATGTTACGTCTTGCAGCGATGGCCACTCCTCCACCTCCAGAGCAGGTGCGATCAAGTCTGACAAGCTGAAAGTCGGGAAGGAATATGTTCAGTTCGGGTTTCAAATGCGTCTCGATGATGACAGCAATGTCGACCTCCTTGGTGTTGAGGAAATCGAGTAGCTTTCTATGCTTGTTCGTTAGTGAGCAAGCGTTCCAATTTGCAATTTTTATAGCTTCACGGTCCATACTTGGTGACGAGTGACAAGGCAGCATGAAGCTGTTCAGATCGAGTCTTGCAGGTGCGCATGATGATGATGACCTCGGCCACGAGCGTCACAAGTTCCTCCGAGGTGAACGGAGAATCGTCGGCAGATTCACCTGAGACAGCACCAGCGTATGATAAACCAGGGGCGGTGGATGAACCAAGAATTGGCTGGGCCGCAGCAGCAGCGAGACGATGCTGAACTGTCCGACTGTTAGGAACCATTCGGATACTCGCAGGATTGGCTTGTTGGTTGTTGAGCGGAAGCGGTGCTAGGTTCGGAACATGTCGACGGGGCTGGAGAGCTGGGTACTGGACTTTCGTGAGTACAGGAGGTGAACGATGATTACGAAGGCGACCAAGCTGGTTGTTGATTGTGGCCTTCCGACGGATATTAATGAACTCCACTCGCTTGGGACATCCGCGATTGGAGGCTTGGTGGTTTCCACCGCAGTTGACACACGTTGGCTCGATGTCATCGACTTGCTCACAGGACGCAGTTGAGTGAGTTCCAGCACACTTGTCGCAGTTTGTCTTCATGTGGCAGTTTTTGGTGCCATGGCCATATGAGAGGCAGTTCATACACTGCGTTACATCACGATGTTGGGGTTTGTAATGCTCCCAACTGATGATGACCTGAAACAGGTCCCGGATATTGGATCTCAGAGCCGCAAGACTGGTGGATCCCTTCGTGAAATGACGACGGTAATCCACGCAAAACCACCTTCAGTGGCTTGCTCGATGGCAGATCATGTGTGAAGAAGTCCACGTTGTTGTTCTTCAGGAAACTTCCTATTTAATTGTACTCCCCCAGGTTGGAGCACATGATTTTGGTACCGATGCTGCAAAGCTTGAAGCGAGGCAGCAGCTTGTGTTTTGCCAGTTCAGCACCCAGCTTGGCAACATCCTTCACCGGCGTGAAAAGCGGGGGAATCCGCTCTCGTCTTGCAATGGGAACGGCGTCACCATCGCCATTTTCTTCCGGGAGTACTGCATACTGGTTGGCTTGCAGTACTCGTTTTCCGGCGTCATCCTGCGACGCGCTGGGCTTGATTAGCACCTTATTTGAAGGGCCCGCTGCTGACTCATTGGCACGTTTACGCACCATTTGTTTCGTGTTTGCAAGTTCAATTAAACTTGCCAGAACGCGAGAAGGTGGCGACACTTCCACGGCGCAACGCGACAGCACAAAACGAAACCAAATCGAATCGGAACTCGAGCGAAAATACGGACTGAACAGCTCGACAGTCGAGCAAAGAATGTCCCAATATCACGCATGATATTGGAGCAAAATATCATGCTTGATATTGATTTAACAAGCACCTTTGATATTGCGAGACTATTCACAACGTGTATTGTTGAAGCTGAGAGTTGAATCTTTTTTTTTTTATCTTTATTTAAGAGATTTTTAGCCATAGGCTAGTTCATCTCTTTGTCATAGGGAGGTCTCAGAAGGAGAACCTCAGGAAACGGAGTTTTTGTTTGACAGAGTGTTTTAATTCTACTAACATTGTTGTTTGGTTGTTTGCTGCTATTCTGCGGGTGGACACCGTCACGAGGGCCGACGGCTCATCCCATGTGGCATCCCACCGCCTGCTAAGGCTGTGGAGTACAGCCTTCCTGGCTCTTGATAGGAAGTTAAAAAGAACATTTAACATTAAACTGAACAAGACGGCACCGTGACGAGGCTCATCCCGTGCGGAACCGTCCCGACAGCCAAAAGAAAACTTACAAACAGAAAATGACAAGGTACTGACTACTAACAAAGATCCGAACAAAACAGAGCTCAGCTGAATGGGTCCAAAAGGGGGCTACCATCCAGCTAAGACGTCCCGACGGCCGAAAGAAAATCTGCTATACTAGATGGAATAAATTTGCTTCTTTGAGGAATGTGAAGAGAGCTGCAGATGCCGGAGTGTCGTCCCCAAGCAGGTCCCTGATGCTGGAGGTGAGATCGAAGGAAACCCGAAGATCCTGGAACTCTGGACAGTTACACAGGATGTGTTCCACTGTGTAGGGAACGCCGCAGATGACACAGCTTCTCCGGAACGGAATCCTACCGTAGTTGTAGTACAGCTTGGTGTGCCCCGTCCGCAGCCGCGATTTAACCCATTGGTCTCTCAAGCTGTCCATTTCACTCCAGGGCTCGGTTGTCGCCTTGATCTTTCGGATGAAAGTGGTCCTGGACTGGTACCACTCGGCTTCCCACGCTTCTCGGAAGGTTTTTGCGATCCACCGTTGTAAATCCTGCAATGGTACCTTGTCGGAGAAACCTAGACCCGGTGGCCCTATTCCGGCAAGTTGATCTGCTGACTTATTCCCAGGAACTCCGCAATGTCCGGGTATCCATGTGTAGACCGTATTCTGTGGTGCATATTTTATGATCGCCTGGATCCAGGAATGTTTTGGTGTTTCCGAAGCCAGAGCTTGGATGACACTGTGCGAGTCCGTAAGAATCAGAATGGGCTTGTTGGCCGGTATTGTTGCAGCTCGGAAGATAGCGGCAGCCTCAGCCGAGAATACCGAGCATTGCGGAGGAAGACTGCTGCTTTCGTTGATGTTTTCTCCGAATATTCCGATTCCAACTCCGTTTCTTGACCGTGAGCCATCTGTGTATCGGTGAGTGTGATTGGCATAGTTGGTTCCAAGTAACTCCACCATTGATCGACGGAGTACTATCGACGTATCCCCTGCTCTGAACCGTTCTTTAATTCGATTGTCCAATATAATACGCGGAGAGTGCCAACTTATCTCTCCATGCAAATGGACTTTGGCCACTGGGGCAGGTCGGTGTTGGTGGCCGTGCGGAGGACTCTATTCCCCTCCTCGAGGAGAAAGACCCTTTGAAATCCGGAGGTCTTTGCAGAAAATGCAGTGGCTTTCGTGGCGATGTTGATGTGTAGACGGTACCGGAAAGGGAGGAGACCTGCTTCAACACAGGCAGCGTCTGCTGGAGTGTAAGGTAGGAGACCAGATACGATCCGGACGTAGTTATTGTAAACCGACGCTAAGGTATTTGTTAGTTTCTCCGAGGCGATACATGTGATTTCGGTCCCGTAGAATAACCTACTATCAATGGTTGCTCTCGCCACGCGGAAACGGATTTCCCGGTTGTTAGAGCGGTGGGGACGGGACCTGCCTTGATTAGGCTCAATCTGCTGCGGCAGTCATTTTTCACCTATTGAAAGTGCTGAGCAAAAGAAAGCGTTCGGTCAAGCAGGACGCCAAGAACGCGCACGGTTTTCCTGGTCGGTACCGCTTGATCATGGATCATGATTGGGGTACTGTTGACTCGATGTTGAGTTGGGCAGATATGGCATCGAATGCTTTTTCTGGCCGACAGCTGGAAACCCACTGCTTCAGTCCATCTGACGACGGCGGATACCGCCGCTTGCACCTTGCCGTTGGTGTGGGTCCGGTGGTTACAATCAACACGTCATTGGCGTACACGAATAGGTGGGCAGCCGTTCAAATACCCCATTCATCGCCACCAAGAAGAGGGTAACAGCTATCATGGACCCGTGCGGGACCCCGGTTTCCTCGCCAAACCTTCTCGGTTGCGTGTTTCCCACCGTGATTAGGAAAGATCGGTCAGTTAGGAAGTTCTGTATGAAGTGCAGGGTGTGCCCCTTCAAACCCCATCCTGCTAACTTCCTGAGAACGGCTGGTGTCCAAAAGCGGTTGAAGGCTTTTGAGATGTCCAGAGAGACGACTTCAGCGTGGTGTCCTTGATCGTAGGCTTCTTTGAGACCGTCCTCCAAGGTTGCGAAGTATGTGGACGTTCCAAAGCCATGCCGAAAGGCGTGTTATCGGTGATCGAGCAGGCTGTTTGACACGAGGAAAGTCTTGAGTCGACGGTTGACCATGCGTTCGAGGACCTTGAGAACTTGGATACATCCCTGGTTTTCTCGCTGGCCTTTGGGATTGGCACTACGAGACTCTCTTTCCAAAGCGCCGGGTAGGAATCGCTGGACCAAAGCTGGTTCAGCTGGAAAAGCTCTAGCATTTTGATCTTACCTTCTAGAGGGAGGTTTTTTAGATGCGGGTAGCCGATGTCGTCGGGACCTGCCGATTTGCCGTAACTGCGGCTCAAGGAGTATTGTAACTCTTCCCAGGAGAACGAATCGTTGATTTGTAGTTTCACCGTGTCGGGCGGGACGCAGAAATCAGCTACTGATGATCGTGTGGGCTTGGCCGAATGTTGAAACCGACTGTCTTACCCGGAGATGGCTGAAATTTCGGCGAAGTACTTCCCGAGCTCGTCGGCAACAGCGGCCGGTTCTGCAACGGTAGCCCCGTCCACCTGAAGATTCATCGGCGCCGAATGTCGCTTCCCACTGAGCGCGTTTACCCTGCTCCAGTGATCAGCTGAGGACAAGGAGGCGTTGATGCTATCGAGGAAACTGGTCTAACTGTCTTGCTTTGCTCCCCTTATTTCCTTCCTGCATTGCGTATGCAGCAAGCGGTATCGGGTGAGTGATTCTTCCCTGCGTGGGTCGTCATTCGGGATCCGTTTCAATCTGCGGCGAGCTTTGACAGCTTTCTTGGTGACGTCGTTCCACCAGCGGAGGGCTTTGCGTCCAGAAATGCTGCTAGTTTTCGGAATAGTTCCTGATGCCGCATCGTGGATCAAGGAGGAGAAATCGGTAATACTTGTCGGGTTGCGTTCCGATAACAAGGACTGGACGGTCACTTGAAAGCCAACCCAGTCGGCTTTCTCGTACCTCCAGCGTGGCCTACGGGTGGTTTCTGGAGCGGCTGTGGAATGCACCTGGATTTGGATGGGGTAGTGGTCGCTACCGTAGAGGTCGGAGTTGGTGGTTCAGAGCATTTTTCCGGCTACGTCTCGGCTGACAGCGGAAACGTCGATGGCTGTGGCATGTCGTCCATTAAACAAGGTGGGCGAGCCTGTGTTGAGAATGACCAGGTCCTCACTTTCGAAGAGGTCAGCTAGAGCAGGCTCCCGGTTGTTTGGCCTCGGACATCCCCAGCTGGGGTGGTGCCCGTTCCTGTCACCTACAATGATCCTCGGTTCCGGCAACCTGTCGATGGCACATTTTAAAATGCTGCTGAGGCCGTTCAGATGGTCGCAGAGCAGGTAGGCACAGGCGATGGAAATACTTAAGGGGCCTTCTAACTGGATGGCAATAATTGGGAATGCGGTGGAAAGCGACCTCTCGCAGCACCCCTATGGCTACTGAGTGTCGGAAGTTACTGCCACGCTGCATAACCCAGGTGTACTTGCCTCCCAGCGAACGGTCCATCCATTCCGCCGTCACCTTGTTTACCTCCTGTAAGGCGATGACCCATGGTAGACTGTTGTGGCAAAGGAGCTCAAGATCGGCGATGTGCTGGAGAAACCCGTTGATGTTCCATTGAAGCAGGAAATTGACGGGCTTCGGTAGAGCTGGCTTCGGGAAGGCGGTTGCCGAGTCAACGCTTTCGTTACTTGGATTGATAGAGTGCCGGATATCATAACAATCCGAGGCGTTGTGATCGTCCGCATTGTCCGCTGCGTCGCTCGTGGTGTCGGTGTCCAACGGAGATCCGCGACCTACAAGCGGTGGGGATCCAAAAGGCCTGGACGTTAATGATGCGGCCATAGCTGACGCGGATGGGCTCGAAACGTAAACCGAATGAAACAGAGCCCCACCAGAGGCAGGAGGAGGTATTCCTCCCACCAGAGGCAGGGATGTTCCAACGGCCGGAATAAAGTTGGTGCAGTTCTCGGTTGTGTGGATGGATGCCCGTAAGAGCAATCCGGGCGTTGATGATGTGGTGGTGGTGGAAGCCGCCGACGGGCTTGTGCCACTGACCGAATGAAATAGAGCCCCAGGGCAGGAGGAAAGGCTCCTCCCACCGGGGGCGCGGATGTTCCAACGGGTGAATGAAATTCCAATTGGTTCCACGGATGGCCGAAATGATTCGCAAAACTGGAGGAACGGTTGTTGAGTCATTTACCTGGCTAATCGGCTCCAGTGCCGTATTGGGGATGACCCGACTTATGCCGAGTGTTTCATCGATCGTGTAGACGAGATCCGACGGTTCGCTGCGCTCAGAATAAAACAGAGCCCCACCAAAGGCAGGCGGAGGTGTTCCGCCCACCCAGGGCAGGGTTGTCCCAACGGCTGTGTTGTGATGGCTTGTTTTCGGGCTGCATGAAATGCTGGTAGACTCCGATGCTGCTTTCAATGACGTGGTTGCGAGAGACAGAACCGTACCCAGAACAGGCGGAGGCATTCCACCCATCCGAGGCAAGGATGTCCCAGCAATGGAAGAAGACGTGTTTTGCGTCGTGTTATTCTCCTTGATTCCCACGAGGTCCTTCGGGGAATGGGTGTAACGTCCCTTTTCCGTCCCGATATCGTATTGAAGCTTCTTTCCCTCGTCGTCCATAGGGGAATAGGTGTTTCCACCCTTGCCGGGGGGTTACCGTCGGTTCCGATGTGGGAAAAGCGTCCGCACCAATCGATGATTTCGTTGCACCTCACCTTTCTTCTTCTTAACCGATGCCAGACACGAGGCGAGTGCTGCCAGTCGTTATGGATGTTTCGGTTGCGTTCGGGTGTAAATCAAAAATCATGAAACTCAATCTCACCACAGTTTGGTGAGATTTGCTGTTGGTGGGTTTTGTTAGCTTGATATTCGGAGCTGCGATATCACAGCTTGTAATATCAACCGTAGTTGTTTGTTTGTTGATTTTTGTCTACAAAAATGAAGCGTGATCTTGTTCTTTGATGATATTTGATTTGATATTTTTCCAGCACTGGTTGAGAGATTGAGCTGTGCCGAACGTGCCTATGAAGGTCAATCAAAGTGTGCCTTTCAAGGTGTCAATATTCTATGAGTTTGGCAGCCCTGAAAGTTATGAATTTTGTGATAGTGTTTCCATTCTCAACTTCTCTGGTGGATCATGGCAAACATTGACCCTCAGCCTAAGTATTAAACACGGAAACATTTAGGTTGTGTTCCATTTGGAAAATTTTCACTTAGATTTGACACTTCGAAAATAAATTAAGATGTTCGAAAATCCCTATGTTGTTGATCGGCCTATTTTCGAGAAAGCGTTTGTCAAAATTGATTCCTTGTCTGTCGGAAATAAGTCTACTGGAACAGCAGGTTTATTTAAAAAAATTCCATCTGTCAAATTTAAGTAAAATATCACCAAATGGAACACAGCCTTAATTTGCTAATTCTTTAACTAGAAGAGACATTCACCACTGCGTCTAAATAATGAGCAGATTCATTTGAAAATTTCCCTTCTGTCAAATTTAAGTGAAAAATCACCAAATGGAATACAGCCTTATATCTGCTATTCCACCAGACTAATTTCTGACAGACAAGAAGTCAATATTGACAAACAGCTTCTCGAAAATCGGTCGATCAACAACAGAGGGATTTTCGAACAATTTAATTTGTTGACGAAGTATCATTTTTAAGCGAAAATTCACCAAATGCAAGACAGCCGTAGTTGTCGTCTTCCAGAACCCTATATAATTTTTGGAAAAGTCATCAAATCGTGATACTTACGGCGCAGTTTTGATTTCCAAGGAATCTACAATGTATGTTTACAAAAAACTCTGCCCTTTATTGGAACACTGTTTACAATTTAACCATCACTACAAATCAAAACAAAAATGTGTTCAGAAACGTTTCACCAG